TCAATTTCGCGCTTGGACAAGTTTAATGTAAACTTAAGTGCCTAGGGGAGACACCGTCAAATGAAAGCCGGCCCGGTTGCGCTAACAAATGTCTCTATGTTATTGAATTTTTCGCCTCTGGATCAAGGGAATGCTGATCGTAAATTACTTTCTGTGTTTATAACTGTTTGAACGTGTAATGGAATGGAAGGAGGCATACAGTCATTGTTTTACCACAAATTTTGCTAACATTTCATAGAAGGATGACTTTCATATCTTATAACCAAAGATACAAAACTTCTGCAGAAGTAAATACGTTTACATAAAAAAAACAATTTTAATAGAGCTTGATGAAAATGAATTAATGACTACCTATTTCTTTAATAAATACGTCAGAAAACATCAGTTAAAGGCTTTGTGTGACAGTGAAATTTAATATCTCTATTTTGAAATAGGTACTTAATTCATAAGCGAACAAATCAGAATTTTAAATCGAACAAACAGGGCGAATAATTTTATTTGAACCTGAAAATCTATGTAAGATTCAACATAAAAATGGCCATAAATCACAAATTGTCGTGTTCCCAGACATGGCATTTTGCGGAGAGATGCCTACGGTCGTAAACTCCTTCTTGTCTGGAGACGATGAAACGGAAAACTTTGATCGAAAACCGCACGTAGCAAGAAACCTTGTAGCAAGAGAAAATGTTCTCGCAAGGGGAACTTTCATGGATTTTATCGAATATGCTGCAACCAGCACACTCCAAGCCAAACAAGTTCGGAACACTTGGCGTGTTTGATCTGAGATACTCGTGAGATGGATTCTGATTGATTTTATCCAGTCATGTTTGTCTTAAGAAAAAGTTGCGACCGTCATACCGATGTGCTGCCGATGTTCGGGAACTACGTAACGATGTGTCTACAGTCGTCAGCGCCTCCCTACCAACTCATTAAATGGAGGAAAAACTTTCCATGTAACACATATGTTCCACATTTGTGTACGTACCTACTTCGTTCGGACCTCTGTCTTAATCTAACAAGGGAATAGTGGGGAACTTGGAAAACTAGATTGCAACTTTAGTTTGAAGTTGGAATTCAGTCTATAAGTCCCAATACGGTTTCTTAACTTTTGAAAACCTTCGTTCTAAAGTTCATTATTGAACTTTCATCCCATTTATTTCCGACCACTATTAATATAAATAAAATCCGAAAACTAAGAATAGGACGTGTAAAGGTATTCAGTACTTGATCAGATAATTACTATAGCCCTACAATTTCCAGAAACGTGTAATATCGAACAAAATTAATGTAAGCAAGCACCCAAAACAATAACAGGACGAGTACTGATTAAGATAAAACTAATTAATGACAGAAACGTCAAACCGAGCAGCAACATTTATCTGTGGACAAATAGCCCAAACAGCAGGTGTAGACCCTAATAGAAAGCCATTTGTTTACCGTCGGCAAACTTCACCTCGTAACCCTAAAATCTAATTGGATTTAATTCCATTAGCAAAGGTCCAAATGGGACCCCTTAATTGTGCTGACCGATGCCGGTTTATTATATGCCCTGGACCTCGCTCGAGAACGTGCGTCATTTCATTATGGAAAACATTTGCAAACAAGAACATTGGCTAGTATAACCCGCGCTGTAAATTTTAATGTGTGCACACCTTTATATTTGGGCCTGTAACATATTAATAACGTCTCCTAATTTGGGATTAAAGTATCTAACTTGCTCATAACATATCATTGTATGTTTTATTTCCTGAAAGGGTAGACAGGCACTTATTACATTATACCACCTAACATTAATAAGTCAGAACCATCCCATGTAATAAATGGTAGTTTCGTCCAGTCCAGAATGAGAATTTCGAATCCTACAACTATATTCACAATTTGGGAATCAAAATTAAAAAGACACTCGCTTTACAGATTCAAGTGAGGAACTATACTCCTATAGGTATCAACGAGGAAGTCATAGATATATAGATAACTGTTTACAACACTTTAACTGTAGATATCGAATTCTTTGTATTTGTGAAATCTTAGATAGCTATGAGGTTATTGATTGATACGACCAGGTACATTACCTTTGTAGGTGTGTATATAGTCGTGATAAGACTAACTGAAACTTTTCGATTAACGCATCAGTGGAATGGTAGTTAAAGGTTTTAAATTGTTGCTTGAATAATCTCATACATGTGCATTTTGCGAGTCGAACACTCAAAATTGAATTAAAAATTTCGAGGATATTACTTATATTAGACTACACATTGTCATCTATACCTATAATATTTTTCGGTATAGTTCTTTTATCTCACGAGCGCGTGTGAGCCATATTTGTAGTTGTAGTGTGTATAGATACGCGCGCTTGTGTGCGTAACTCGCAGCATGCTCATTTATTGGCATGCCGGCCAAAACTGGGCGTTCCCATGCGTACGCAAACAAAGACAATGTGCGTGTACATTTACCCACACAAGTATGGCGCACCCGCACTCGTGAGATAAAACATCTATACGCAATAATTTTCGATGTAAAGTTCTTCAAATAGCACTTAAAGGTGTCCACAACTACTCAATGAATTAACATAATCAACGTATTTAATTAATGTACCAAGATAATTCGACTCTAGTTGATACAAACAATTTATTACAAATACACTACAAACCTAATGCAGAAATGGTCTGCCCATACATTTCCATTGCCAATAAGACCTATACCCTTCTAATGACTCTCAATTTCAGGCACTAGACCGAGTCAAGGGATAGAAGGGAGCGAGAGCAGGGACGTAGTTACCAATAATTTCAAGTGTATTCAATTTATTAATGGAAATAGTAACGTAATGTTTTTATTGGGTTAAGCCCGCCACAATCTCCTAAAACCGCTACAACTCCTGTAAGCCAGGATCTTCAGCAGATATATCCATAAAAACACCGGAACATTAAAGTCCGGTGCGTCCCAGGGACATGAATAACTGTCTTGGTTTCCGCAACGTAATGAATCAGAAGATATTATAAGAGGAAAAGAAATACCAAAAAATGAAGTAGTATCGTAGTTATTGAAATGTGTATTGTACTGAACTTAAACACAAAAATTACTACATCTTATCGTGGAATTTAATAACGAAAAGAGCTTAACGCTACACTATTTCTGCACGCACCCTATATTTATTCTATTTTTGTCGAACTACGACATCGTCATGTAAGACTTACGCCTAGTGAGAAACGAGAAATACTGCCTCTTTGCGCATGGGGTGATAAATATACCTATTATTAGTAGTCAACCTGGTTTAAAAATCAACCAAAATTTACTCAAACTTTCAAAAACTGCTCGCTAATACACAACTGGAAAGTTCCATTAAATATGGGACAGAAAATCAAGCACCCCTACCATTATCGCTACATCTTATCAGTTACCCCATCAGCACACTGTAAGAGGCTTAAACTCCATTACTTAGAACCAAAACAGTGAGCGTTAAATATGCAAACCACACTTGACCTGCATTTCAATGAACCTTTCAAACCTCACTCAACATGACTGATATTAATTGAGGGTTATGTACAATTTGATCGATTCCCAAACACTCGAATATGCTAACGGTCTTGGGGTAATACCGTATAAAGAGTTCTATATCATTGTCTACTCTGAACGTTTGTGTATTTTTTTTTGGCATGTCACGTAAACGAGCAGACGGATCACCTGATGGTAAGCAATCGGCGTCGCCCATGGACACCTGAAAGGAAACACCAAAAGCGTTACAAGTGCGTTACCGGCCTTTTGGGCTTTGAGGATTGTTGGGGATTCGGGGATTGGGGAGAGGGGAAGGGAGAGGGAACTGGGCCACCGGTAACCTCACTCACACGACGAAACACAACGCAATCTTTGCTTCACGTCGGTTTTCTGTGAGGCCGTGGTAACACTCCAGTGGAGCCGGCCCATTCGTGCCGAAGCATGGCTCTCCCACACTTTTTGCTTATGAATCATCGTGTTCGCAGATTTTAAGTGGAGAAACAAAGCAATACTATATAATACATGCTTGTCAAAATGCCGGTTTTTAACTGCTTATGGTTGTGAAACAAGAAAACGAACTTTTAGTTTATAGATAACACGGTATTAGGAGTTAAGACTGAAAATATCGCTGGTGGTATCGCGGTGTGTAACTGTAATGCGCTCGTCTTAGCGATTAAGTTAGTTTACGCTCGCGGGAAAAAACCGTGGCGCGGCCTTAGCCTCAAAAGTAAAGATATTATCAAACACAATTAGATTTCAAAATGATCTTATCTTACTGTTAATGGTTAGTCATAAAAACAGGTAGGCATAGGTTCAAACCGAAATAGATTAAGTGTGGTTGGCACAACAATTCTAATCATAGAGCTTTTAATTTACCTACGAATAACCGTAACTTAACGTATGTTTTGAATCGACTTAAAAAAAAGGAGTTTGTCACTTTGACCTGTAAGTACATATGTATGTATGTTTGTGTGCGATTATCTCGCGAATGGCTTAACCAATTTTGATGCGGTTTTCAGAAAAATGGTTCTTACACTTTGGAGAGTATAGTTTTAGTATATTAATTTACGGACTTCAAAAAACGAAGTGGATTGAAGTCGTTTTTTTAAACGTAGTTTAATAATTATATTAATCACCAGACAACGCAATGTGTAATCATCATCAGACTATTTACAAAAACAAATGAGTATCTAATCTAGTATGGTGGATTACTTAAATTATTATCTTTGTAGCATACGAGTAATTATATTATCTGTATCTGCTATAAAATTATAAACCAGGAACTAAACTATGTACTTACCCAACATTTTTCATGTTAACCTGAAACTGATTAAGCATTTAACTGCGATTAATTCATGCATTAACACTCGGAAATGTTTGGCAACTACTACCTCATGTATATAACGAACCTAATCATGAAGCATGAACTGATAAAAAGAAATATTATCTTTTCATTAGTATCAACATTTTATCTATAAATAACTTTATTGACAAATCAGTGGGTTCGAGGAAAGTGCGTGTCGGAAAAACGATGGCTTTGAATTTAAAACTGCGTGTCTATGTGTATAGACAAACACGGTGTCTATGTTCATGAGTTATATAAGTTAAATTGAGTCAAAATGCCGGCTATAACCGAAGAGAATGATATCTTGAAAACTATATTGTTTTCTTTTAACGTGTTTGTGCATATGTTGGTAGGAATCACGATGGGGGTTCCCATGCTGTTTGCAGTGCTCCAGAACTTCCAGACTGACGATGCAGACACTGAGGCTATAATGCATCATATCCTGATCTGTGTACCTGCGGTAAGCTTTTACTGTTATCAGTTTTACGTTAAATTAATGTACCTACGTATATTATTCACAGTTTTTTATTGATCATCGTTTCTGCGTAGAGTTAAAAGCATGTTTGTGTACCTCTAATAAAACAATATTATTTAAATTATAAACATACAAGAATGAACGCAACTTCTTTTATGTATTTTATTTGTTCGAAATTTTAGACCACGTTTCGTGGTGACAGAAAATGTATGTCTTATAGTAATATCAAGACAGAAGTAAACATTAGTAACAGCTTTTGGAATTTTATTGTCAAACTCATTACAAACATTTTATTATATAATTATTCAATACTTTATCACTCTGATAAAACTGCATTAAATTCTGAAAATATCGTTAATGAAATACGATATCCATCTAAATCATTTCATTCAGTAAATAACATAATTATTTTTAAACACGCACTTTAGACATAATTGTGTTATTATGACGCACTTATATATATAAGTATCCAAAAGTCGTTTAGAAATAATATTATTCCCAAACTCAACCAATACCCAACAAAAAATATTGTATAAAAAAATCATAGGCACATAACCTTACGTCTGCCTCCGATACCCCCATCGGAGACAGGCGTAAGGTAGATGCTATGATTCTTACATATCTCTTTCGCATCCTCGACAGTCATCACTCTTGTTATGAATTTTATTTAATTTTAATTAAGAATCACTTCTAATTGAAAAATGTTAAAATATGGCCTTCTAGCATAGGTGATATTATTATCTATCATGTAATAATTGATTCCAATGTTCGCTTTTCACTTACGATAATACTTATCTATTTACATATTACTCAACACGTGCATTTTATGTTAGAAACTCCAAGTCATCATTAGCGTTTATATGATAGCAGCATATCACGCCTTTTAACACGAAAGGGAAGACCAAGTAACATTTTTTTTATACCACGACGGTGGCAAGAAAAGCACACGATCCACCTGATGGTAAGTGGTTACCGTGACCTACCTACCCATTAGTTTTGTGGTAAGCGTGAGCCTATTGCCATATAACTGCCAGAAGTTGTACCTTTTTACGTTCCACTGAAGAAATACCGAAAAATACACCTAATAATCCAGACCCTTTTTCCTCAGTCGACATACGAGGCAGTTGTTATTCGCATGATCACATCATCACATCACATCACATCACATCAACAGCATATATGTGGCCACTACTGACCAAAGGCCTATTCTCACACAGAGAAGGTTTGACCAATAATCACCACGCTTGCTCAATGCGGGTTGGCGATTTCAAACTTATACATAATTAGAAATTTTAAACCCAGATTTCCTCACGATGTTTTCCTTCACCGTTTGTCAGTGGCGTCTAAATAATCTTAGATAGTACATATAACTCCGAAAAAGTCACATTGATACTTGCCTTTGGTAGATTTTGGCCCCGCACCCACGTGCATTAGAAGCGGGATCTTAAACCTCGGGGCCACCACGACGTTTCGCATCATACTTATATATATTGCATACTAATAAACAACAAATTAAACACTATCTGCTTAATATGTGAGGTGTTCATTTATATTATTAAAAAATGATTACCTATATCTTAAATCATGTTAATCCTAATTGTGATACGACAAATCTTATTGAGTTTCAATAATATTTTAATCATATGGCTATTTAATGAGCTATTGCATGCATTTCAATAATGAGAACGACATAATATCTCGTTTTTGACGAGTTTTGTAGTTGAGTAGTAACTACTTAAATAGTAGTGAAATATTATGATGAGTATCAGAATAACTATCTCTACACCCTTCAGAAATTTAAAATCAGACCAATTTTTTACAATAGCATCTCCAATATCTTTTTTATGATATAAGGTGACCAACGTGCGGAAGTTAAAAATACCAAGGTCACACGTCGGTTTTCTGTGAGGCCGACCCATTTGCGCCAAGCCAGTTGTCCCTGTCACGTAAAACTATGCATTCACTATTTCTCCTAACAAATCCACATTAATCTCATTTCAGTACCAAGTCCTGACATCGCAAGCACTGCTCAGCTTATGTCCTTACAACACCTGGTCTTCACCACTCAGGAAAAGTAACAAAATGCGAGCACATTGGGTCCTACATCTGAGCGGTTACGCTTTGGGAGTCATTGGCAGCGTGATCATCATGTCTTCTAAGAAAAAGAACTTCCAAACTACACATGGACGATTAGGTAATTGATTTATAATACCAAAATAAATTGAATTTTTTTATCTATTTATAATATTATAGTAACTATTTTGTTTAGATTTAAAGGTCATTAAAACAAAAAAAATAACAACAAGACATAGATACAGCATGTAAAAAAAAGTAAATCAACAGTAATATGAAAGGGAGAATCAACAATACAGATGACCTGTATGAACACATTTAACAAGCACGGCTCGGGCACGGCCCCAACCCAGCAATTAACTTGTCATTTAAGTATGAACTTTAAATCATATGTCGTATGATATATTTCATAACGTCAATATGAAAAAAGGTATAAGCGAGCCTTCGGTGCACCGACAGTGTGCTTACAACCTTTTTGTATTGTTTCCTAATAATAAGTATATAACCGAGCCGAGTTTGGTCTCATTTTCTTTCTCATTATTGACTAACAACCCGCCCCGGCCTCACACGGGTGCAATATGCATGTATTATACATACAAATCTTCCCTAAGGATCACTCTATTTATTAAAAACCGCATCAAAGTCCGTTGCGTAGTTTTAAAGATCTAAGCATACATATATGTATGTAGTGATTTTCATTTTTGTTACATACTGTATCTAATATCTTAGTTACTTTTCCCGTCCCAGGTTTACTGGAACAAATTTCAACAGGCATATATGAATAGATGAATGTATTGTCCTCTAAGCTGTTCGTATGTATGTACATGAATTATAAAATAAATAAAGTACCTCGATAGAGGTTCATAAGTGTAATTATAAAATTCAAGACAAACGTGAATGCTAGTATCGCCTATTTTGAAAATCAGTAAGTTCTGTAATAATGCTTTGTTTTATCTATTACTACTCCAACAAACCAATTGGCGATGCAATAATTTGTTTTGCTAATAACCTACGACTGAATCCTATCTACATATATCAAGTGTTTATCATTGCGAAGACAGATAAATTTCCAACGCGTTATATAATTCAGATAAAATTATGTCAGTTGTTATGCAATTAATTTTTAAGCTGCGATAAACAGCAGTAACACAAATGGTGCTTTCTTTTTCAACATAAATTCTAAATATGTATATTCAGAGGGCCCTAGGCCTAGAGGGCCTCCCTGTAGCATTTACTTCTTTACATTTAAAATAAACTTCTCACGACTAAACCTTCGACTTATTGACCATTTAAGATCGATCATTAATTTATCGACACCACAACAAATACAAACAGACAAACACCACAGCATACACATCTTGATCATTCTAAAATCTTATACTATACATAACATACATACATAACATCACGCCTTTTATCCCCGAAGGGGTAGGCAGAGGTGCACATTATGCCACTGTATAATGTAACACCTACTTATCACTATTTATGTTATGAGTCCGATGTAATAAGGCGTGAGCCTATTGCCATATATCGGGCACAATTCCAGACTCCGTGCTACTACTGAGAATTTTTAAAACCCAGTAATACTTTGCCCGACCCGGGAATCGAACACGAGACCCCGTGCGCGGCAAACGCATTTGCGACCACTCGCCCAACGAGGCAGTCTTAATTGTAAATGCAAAAATGTATGAAGATGTAAGTGCGTGTTGTTGTTTGTTTCTCTTTCACGTCAAAACGGCTGAAGGAATCGAGATAAAATTTGAAACAGGGGTAGATTATGGTCTGGAACAGCATATCATTATCAACAGCCTATATACTCACTGCTGAGCAAAGCCTCTTCTCACACGAAGAAGGTTTTGGGCATTAATCAAAACGCTTGATCAATGTGGGTTGGCTATTACAAACTTAAAATTAGACATTATAAGCCTAGGTTTCCTCACGATATTTTACTTCACCATTTGTCAGTGGTGTCTAGATAATCTTAGAAAGTACATAATATATAACTCGGAAATGTCACATTGGTACTTGCCGTTGGTAGGTTTCAAACCCGCAACTTAATGTATGAGAGGTGGGCTCTTAAACCTCCGTCCCACCACGACTATAATATATATGCTGGATTAAAATATAGGCTAGGTACTTTTTATCCGACGGGAAAGCGGTCGAAGCCGCGTGCAGAAACTAGTAGTTTCCAGTACCAAATTAATTCGCTACTTTATCATTTCCAGGTTTGGTTTGCCTAACCATAACGCCATTGACAATGCTGACCGGACTACTAGCTCTATGGGCTTATCCATTACGAAGGTTATACCCTGTCAAGGTTAACAAACTGGTGCACGTCATAATCGGGATGGCTTGCTTTTCCTGTTCCTCAGCTGCTATCTGCCATGGATTCAACAAAGAAGCCTTCAGAGACTGGATGAACGAACGAGTCACTAATGGATTTATCGCCTTCACTAGCATCGTCACCTCCATTTTGCTCTTTAACCCTTTGCTCACAGTGTTCAGATTAACTTATAAAATTTTGAACAGAGATTGTCAGTGAATCAGAAGTACCTATGTTAAGCAATTTTGACAGCACGGTTGGCGCGGTGGTTGGGATACTCCGCCACGCTACGTGCTACGGGTTCGATTCCCTCACGGAACAACTCTTTGTGTGATCCACATATTGTTCTGGGTCTGGGTATCATGTGTATGTGATGTTGTATATTTGTAAACGCACCTACGACACAGGAGAAAATCTTAATGAGGGGCAACGTTTCTGTAATTAATAAAAATGTCCTATGAACGTGTAAGAGGACAATAACCTTAGCCAGGATGCACATGTAAATATTATTTTAATTTATTTAGCTCTATGTAAGAGGAATGTTCCTAGAATGTTTTAAGATTATTACTAAGGATATTGTATTCTGTAACTTGTTTCTTCTGGTGGTATCCTAACTAGATTAAAATCTATCATTGATGGCCACTAGTATCAGTTTAATATTAAGTATACCCAAATACTGATAGGAATTAAAAGCATGTACATTTAGCTATGGAATAATATCATTATGATATTTTTTACTATACTCCACTACTTTTTACACATAACATAACATCACGCCTTTTATCCCCGAAGAGGTAAGAAGAGGTGCACGTCACGGCGCTTAATGCTATTATATAATTTAACACCCACTTTTCACTATTAATGTTGAGTCCCATAAGTTATAAAATAAAATCGTCTGATGATAAGATAAAAACTACTTGGAAAGTTATACACAACGAGACCGGTAGGAAAAGATTAAGAAACTCAGAATTTAATTTAAATACCGAAAGGGGACAGATTACATCAAACGTAGATGTAGCCCAGGAGTTTGAAAATTTTTTTACTAGTATTCCTATTAAAACAACTGAACATTTAAAGTCTGTAACTTTGCTTAAGAACAACATAGAATCATGTCAATACGACTTTAGTTTTCGATATACGAATCCTCTAGAAATTATAAAAGTTTTTAAAGAAATCAAGACTAAATCAACGGAGGATCTTTGGGGCTTATCGGTAATGGTTTGCAAGTCACTTATCCAAACTGTAGCGCCATATCTGGCTGTGATTTTCAATAAATGTATAGATGACGGTGTTTTCCCTGACCTAATGAAATATAGTAAGGTTATCCCACTATTTAAAAGTGGTGACACTAAAGAACCTAACAACTATAGGCCAGTGTCTGTTTTACCGGTTCTCAGCAAAGTCTTTGAAAAGTTGATGCTGTCTCGGATGCTTCATCATTTTAATAAACATTCCATCTTTCACCAACAACAATACGGTTTCACTAAAGGTCGTTGCACAACTGACGCCGGTGTCACTTTGATTAAGGAAATATTTGGTGCTTGGGAGGAAGCACAGGATGCTATTGGTGTATTTTGTGACCTCTCAAAAGCATTTGATTGCGTTGACCACGAAACACTTTTGCTGAAATTAGATCATTACGGGATAAGAAACTCTGCGCTCCGTCTTATGAAATCTTATTTAGAAGAAAGACAGTTAAAGGTTCATGTTAACGGTATTAACTCACAGGGCTCTGGGATGAATATGGGCGTTCCTCAAGGTTCAATATTGGGTCCCTTTCTCTTTTTAGTCTATATAAATGATTTGCCATTTATATTTAAAAATGAACCAAGAATGGTGCTTTTTGCAGATGATACATCATTAATTTTTAAAGTAGATCGACGTACAAATAATCTTGACGACGTAAACAGCTCCATTCTTCAAGTGCATAATTGGTTTACCATTAATAATCTAGCACTTAATGAAAAAAAAACAAAATGTATTAAATTCAGTTTACCAAACGTGCGTAGTAACGATTGTGATATTGTTTTGAACGGTCAAAAGTTAGAATTTGTCGACGAGACAGTATTTTTAGGCATTACGTTAGACAATAGGCTACAATGGGGTCCGCATATAAAGGCGCTTTCGGGGAGATTGAGCTCAGCTGCTTTTGCAGTTAGACAGATTAGACAGCTCACGGACGTGGATACAGCTAGGCTTGTCTATTTTAGTTATTTCCACAGCATTATGTCGTACGGCATTTTGTTGTGGGGTCGAGCTGCAGAAATAGAATCAATATTTATTCTGCAAAAGCGGGCTATCCGAGCAATATATAACTTACGCCGTTGCGAATCGTTGAGAGAATTGTTTAAAACGATAAATATTTTAACGGTGCCCTGTCAATATATATATGAAAATATAATGTATGTAAGGAAAAATAGGCAATTGTTTGAAAAAAGAAGCGATAGACACAATTTTAATACTAGAGGCAAAAATAAGTTAGCTATACCGCAATTCAGACTGTCCAAAGTACAGAAATCCTTTATGGGGTTAGGTATTAAATGCTATAATAAAATACCAAATAGCATACTAGATCTCAATGAAAGTAAATTTAAAACATATATTAAGCGCGAATTATGTAATCAAGCTTACTACACACTGACAGATTATCTTGAAGATAAGAATGCTTGGCAGCATGTTGGTTCGGCTCCACTGGACAATACTCAAATGTAGTCAGTAGTTAAATTCCAATAGTAGGTAATATAATACATAATTTAATACTTTAATTCTAATGTAGACAATCTAGTTTCCTTATGGCATCGAGCATTTCTTTCTTTATTGAAACAAAGAGTTTCCTTTTTCTTGTATAGAAGTACTATTTCTATGGATAGTCAGTATGCATATGTGAGCACCATGTTAGACTTAAGATCTTTATTATTTTTATTTTTATTTTAGTAAGTTATTAGTATAATGCGTCAAGCGTGTCTTTGCATTGTTCTTACATATGCGTACAGTATTGAAATATGTATCAGAGACATTGTAGAACATACTTTTTTAAAAGAGTAACGAATGGAGTTTCTTGCTCGTTCTTCTCCATTCGAATCTACGTTTTGGAATGAGCACCTAGCTTCATCTAGCTTCACTGACGGACTGACTGACAGACTATTATTTATTTTGTATTTGTTGACGTTTCAAAAGTACCAAACTATGGTTTAATTGAAATAAATGCTTTGACTTTGACTTTATATGAGTCATATGAGTGGTTGAGTCTATTACCATATATCGAGCGAAATTCTAGACTCCGTGCTACCACTGAGATCTTTTTTAAAACCTAGTAATACTTTGCCCGAACCGGGAATCGAACCCAAGACCCCTTGCCCGGCAGCCGACTTGAAACCACTCGGCCAGGCAGTCGTACTTTTATTTCTACATTTGTATGTATTATAATAAGTCGTAACTCGGACCCCATCTACAAACTGACCGCATCAAGTAGTTGTTAAAGACATGCTAAAAGTGAAAACACAGTTCTTTTTAGATATCGAGCCATTCTTGAAATTTTTCGGAGACTAAAATGATTCTATTTTAATTTAAGTAGCTAGTCGGTTTAATTAAAAGGGAAGATTCTTTGATTAGAATACGTGTTCACGTGTGACTTATATATCTATGTAGGTATGCTGCTTTATATTTTCATCATGCCATCGTAGACAATTTTTTAAAAGCAAATTGTTTTCATTTAAACTGGATTGATTCACCATGGTGCCAATTCAACGGAGTTGCAATATGAGCAGCCCGCCTGCGGACATCATTCTACGAACTGTCCCACATACTCTGGGAGTGTGGTCACTGGCAACGTGTACGTACGTAACACTATATTAGATAATTCAATTGGAATCTATAACAAATTTCCGTGCGTTTAGGCGCTTTTGCCATACCTATTATTGGATTCAAGTATAACAGCTCACACATAGGACTCACTTAGTTTTTGGTCAAATTTCTGAGGTGCTTGGCGACTGAGCTTCTCCCAGTTGTACACTCGCTTTTTGTGCTTTTAAGTTTAATTCATTCTGCTTCCTGCAGTAATTCACAGAGGGAAGTGGAAAATATAGTTTATTCTTCTTCTTCCCTCGGTGAATTACTGCAGGAGACAGAATGAATTAAGCCCAAAGGCACAAAGAAGAGACTGTACAACTGGGTGAAGCCCAGTCGCCAAGCACCACGGAAATTTGACTAAAAACTAAGTGGGTCCTATGTGTGAGCTGTTATACTTGCTTCCAATAATAGGTATGGCAAAAACGCCTAAACGCACGGAAATTCGTTGCAGCGGTTACAATTACAGTTACCATCATACAAGATGATGCCCTGTGTATATAGAGAATATAGTTTCATTACAGATTCCATTACTGGCAGACGCCCCGTATTAATACTGTCGGGGTGATACAATAAACACTTAGTCTTCACGTTATCTAGGTCACTCGAGAGGTGGCTATAGAATAAAGTAATTAGTTCCTGGACCACATCATGCTTGATACTAAAATTAATATTCATAAAACTAACTCTAGTTGTTTTAAAAATCATTTTACGTGAATTTTGATATGCATTGAAATCTCTGTCTCGCTGCTATAACTAACTATAAAACAAAAAACATTTGTTTTATAGTTAGTTATAGCAGCGCAATGCAATGTTTATTCCTGCATTGAAATAATAGGACAAAAATGTGACAGATACTTTTCTGACACCTTTTTTTTAACATGATTAGATGGATTATCGTGCAATTTTGTAATTTATAATAGCAAAACAAGCATGGACACAAACAGGATAGTATCAGTAAAAAGTAAGTAACATTTTGTTTTGTTTCCAAAGCAAAAAAAACTGACTTAAAAAACCAAAATCGAATAAAAAACTAAACATAAAAATAAAATTTTTGTTGGTTGGTGGTTAAGTTTCCCTAGGATTCCACCTTCAGACCCTGACCTCATCTATTTCTAAATGGGACCATCTCGGGAGTATACCCTTTTAAAACAAACAAGAATTTTGGAAATTGGTTAATCGGCGAATTCATCGGCGAAAAAAAAAACTATCAGAATCTGTACCTCCTCCTTTTTTTCAAATCAGTAAAAATGCGGTGTCACGCCGGAGCTGTGCCGAAGACATGTTTGTTCGGTGTGCGACCTTTAGTTTCATGCTGTCGCTATGATGATGGTAATTTTATGTGGCATGGAAGACTACATGTATTTTTATAAGTATAATAGCTGTAATAACACCAGAAGAAACCACTAAAATCGATATAAGATGCCATGTAAATACTTCCAATTGAGTAATCAATTAAATTTTAAGTAAAATAATAGTTCTATGATAACTTTTATTATCAAATCTAATCTATAATCTCATTATAACAATAGTTACTCGTGTAAATTCAAGGCTACCGTATTGAAACTTAGAATAATTAGTAGATGTGTAAACATATTGTTGTAGATATCTATTGTGTTTAGTTCTTAATAAGATAAATTAATCAGTTCGGCTAATTATTTAATCGTCATCAATACATACACATAGTTTTACAATGTCTGGATAGTCGTAGATAAATAAGAACGTAATTTATATGAACTACTTAAATATCTGTCACGTACCTTTATCGGGCACATAAATAAAAATCGGCCGTAAGTCAAATAAATAAATTGTAGTCAAGTGGAAGACACACGATATTATAATCATACAGAATCTATGTATATTGTAAATTAAGTCCGTTTTTAAAGGGAAAATCATTGAGTGGCTTCTCCCGCCTAAGTGAGGCGGGAGGGAATGTCAGACTCTTATTGACTAAAAACCACCCCGTTCCAACTCCTGCCCTTCAAGCCGGAGCCCCGGCAACCCGCGGCTCCGTATCGTTATATAAGCCCTAATGGGCCCCATCCGTGGTGGTCTGATAGCTTTTTGGGGCGCGTACTCGGACCTATCATAAAGTATTAAGATAAATACAGACTTCACCCATTTTTCTCAATGGCTTCACCGCACTGTTACCAGAGCCGTAACTTTTTAGTCGGTACCGAATCCGATATCACACGTATTACCTGTCCTACACTCTAGGAAAGATTTTCTTGGATCACCCGGCTAGTATAGGATGCCATACTTGGCAGCACCCTACACGCTATTAAAGGAGGAAAGGACTCCGAATCTTATTACAGGACCTCGTGGTGCCAAGCATACATCCATCTTGGACCTGCCTACGCTGGAGTGACAGCCGCTGACTTGCGCTCAAAGAGGCTAGAGGTCTGCCTCTGGTCTATGGCGCCTCATTCATGCGTCTTTTGCGGCACGGAAGGGTGCTAAGCCGTTCCCGTTCTTTTTTCGCCGCTTATTCAAAAAACATAGAAGTCACCCCTTCAAGTATCTCTATGTATACCTCTATGAGTAAAGACGCATGTACTAGGCAGTCTTTTGTACTTACCACCTTTGAAATTTGACCAACGAATAGCTTAGCATAAAAACCACCTAGAAGCCACTATATACACATTGTTATGACGGAAACAATTGACTGGAAGATATGAATCGACGTGACTGCAGTCAAGCGTAGAGATAAAGTAATAATGTGCGATAATAATGCACTTACTTTAATATACCAATTATCAACACTTATATACCTCTATATGTAGGTATTGCTTATCTCTTTATTGATTTGTTACCATCATTCCCTAAAGCTGATTTTTCCAACGGCAGATAACCTTAATGAAGAAATCTTTGTGAAAACTGTCAGACGTCAATTTTATTAATCGGCCCTTATTGTTTACACCTCAAAGTTGTGTTGTGAATAAAGAAGGAGGTTCTTCAGTATGACCCCCTGTATGTATGTACGTTTGTGCCTGATGATCTTGTGATTGGCTGAACCGATTTTGATGCGGTTTTCAGAAGAGTGTTTAACAAACACTCTTAGGAGGTTTTAGTTTATTAATTAAGCGACTTCAAACAAAGAGATGGTTGAAGTCGGTATTTTTAAAAATGGCATAACATAACATCTCTCCTTTTATCCTCGAAGGGGTAGGCAGAGGTGCACATTATGCCACTGTACAATGTAACACCCACTTTTCACTATTTATGTTATGAGTCCCATGTAATAGGGGGTGAGCCTATTGCCATATACCGGGCACATTTCCAGACTCCGTGCTACTACTGAGATTTTTATAAAACCCAGTAATACTTTGCCTGACTCGGGAATCGAACCCGAGACCCCTTGCCCGGTAGTCGCACTTACGACCACTCGGCCAACGAGGCAGTTTTAAAAATAGTTCATAATATCAATAATGTGTTCCAGTTCACATTTAGATAATATGCTTTCGTTAATAATTCGCTACGAAACGAAAGTGAAAACGTGAAATATTGAAATAACAATGTCCTTGTTCTAGTAATTTCGACTGGTAATTCATATTATTTTAGTGCCTACAGGCGTAGTCATATTGAGATTGCAGATTTGATAATCAAATTTACGTAGGTATATCGCTGATAATAGATTCTGTTAAGTCATTATTGTATTTGTAAGCTTACATTAACAAATGGCCTTAATCATACTAAAGAATTTATTTAGATATCAACAATGCATCAATGCCATTTGATCTTAATTAAGATTAAAATTTAGTTGATCTGTATTTTTCTGCAATGGTAATTGATTGCTTATTTCTTTTCTTGTAAACTTTCCTTATAGAAGGAATATACATTCCTCGCGAATTATATTTGCTATGAAAGAATGAAGTCCGACAGTCAGTAAAATGAGCGTCAGTCGTGGCGCGCCCGTTGCAGTCAGAAAATACAGCATGTGAAAGTCGCCAAAAATGATTAGACTCTAATTGCTTATACACTAAATATGGAAAAAAAAAATTACATGAATTTAAATAAAAATAAAATAATCAGATATTTTACAGCAACATAAAGATTCTACAATTTACATTTTTTATGTACAAAAATATCATACTACTTTCTTTGAGAAATAGAACTAGTATATATTTAAGAAATATCATAAAAATAAAAATTATACAGAAAAGTAAACGTTACATAAACTATAAGTTTGCAGTCATATCAATAGATGGTACTAGTAGTATAATATTTTTGTACATAAATAAAAAAAAAATGTACAGTCGAAAAAAAAAAATTAATAACAATTCTTCTATATAGGTACCTATTACGTTATGTTTTAAAAAACCGACTTCAATCTCTTCCGTTTTGAAGTATTTTAATTAAAATAGTTAATTATATAGTAAAACGTTTTCCTAAGTGTAATTCTAACAATTTTCTCAAAACCGCATCAAATTTCGATTGGCCAATCGCGAGATCATCTCTCACAAGCATACAATTAGGTTAAAATACGTACTCCTTCTTTTTTCAAAGTTGGTTAATAAAATTTGAAATTTCCAGTCAGCTAAATCAGCACTGATGGTAATAAGATTGTCATATCTATTAATCAGAGAGACTTAGAATGGTGAAATATAGAACAAGCACGCAACGTGTTTCTTGTACCGACTGACGCAGATTCCTTCTGAATATTTGCAGCTGATATTCTTTATTTTTCAAATCATTTAAATATTCAGTTCTATAAGTTATATAAGGAACGCTATTTTTTATCTGCGAGTCCGATGCATATAACAACGGCCATAAATTGGCATTTTTAGTTAAGAATCATCTAAAGAACTGGCTCACAAAATTTTGATGAGTAACAAAATAATGAAGAGGATTTTTTCTTTCGGCGACTTTTCAGTGTAGCTCTTGGCCGCAACAGTAGTTGAGCGGCTGACGCTCACTACTCATAAGTATAAGGACTATAAGGAGAGAACTGTCGCCTATCAAATGCTCAGTGGATTAAACGGCTCGGAGTTTACAAAATGTTATACAGAGATGCAGATATTTACAGCAACATCTTCTCTTCACAGTTATGAGTCCTGCATGTAACCTCATTGTTTAAGTTGCGAGTTAAAAAAGGCGACCCAACGGTTGTAAATTAGTGGAAAGCTGTCTTCATGAACTTTTATCCATTTACGTAGGCCGTACACAAACTACGGACCATGAGAAAATAATTACATTTTATTTTTAACTTCAAAAGTATAATATAGTGAAAAGTACATTAAAATGCCTTCTTTAGTCAATTATGTGATCAACGAACTGATTTTGTTCCGATTTCAAAAAGAAAAAAAGAGCTCCTGTGTGTATGTACCTCTACATTTGTGCGCGTTTATCTCATAATGGGCTGAATTGATTTTGACGTGGTTTTCAGAAAAATGTTTGTTATAGGTACTTGGGAAAGGTTTTAGAATATATTAATTAACCGACTTCAAACCAAGAAGGATTTATGTCATTTTTTTTTAAACGTAGTTTATTAGAGAATTATACATTATCCATTACCACGGTACACAACCCCAAAAACTATTGCAATAAAAATAGTCTAACATTGAAAACTCGTCATCGATTCGATAATATTAATCTTTGGTATTTCCATAATTCATGTAAAATCTTATCAGACGGTCGATATGTGTTAAAATGTTATCGGTAAAAGAAATAACTGTATAATGTATATCGTAGATATGAACTTAATATCGATAACCAATCTTTACGTACGTGTGTGCTTACTTTTTCACAACCAAATCATTGAATATTTTTCTCCGAATGTAGCTATGTTATTTTATTTTTATTAAAAATTATAATTTTCATAGAATTTCATAATTTATTTATTTGTAAAATTAATTAATAAAAATTATAATTTAATAAAACAATAATAAATCGACATGCGAGGTCATATAAAATTGATAGTCACTGATAAAGTTATCTACGGATATTTTATACCCGTATTGTGTTTGTAATTTTCATTCACAGTTTGAAACTGAAAGCAGTAGGTTTAATTTAATTGTCTATAACAAATTGTGAATCATGGATACCGAAAGTGGAACTACAACCCAGCAAAGAGCAGGACGAATGGATTCGAAAACTTATTATTTTACGACTTTTAATAGTTCTTTGAATATTATATGCCATACTTTAATAGGTATAGTGGTGGGTGTCATCGTGACCTATGGGTTAACTTTACCAAGTGGAAAAACAAAGGACCACATCATATTATGTGTTCTTGGGGTAAGTATTAGTTTTAACAAACAATTTATGTTTTTCTTAATAGATCTTAGGTTTAAATATGTCCAGCAAGATATTTATAAATAATAAATGGGCGTATCCATTTTTTTGTAATTTTATTTTATTTTAAAGGCTTCATGCATATACTAATGTACAAGGTGGGCTTAATGCTGTGGGCATTTTCTTCCAGCCAGATCTTCGTGTGATGAAAAGATAAAAACATTTACACGATAATTAAAATAAAAAATGACAAACATAAAATGAATTACACTATAAATTAGGTATTATATTGCAAAATTTACAAAATATTTTTTTTATTCCAGTACCAACTGTTGATGGCTCAAGCCATATTAAGTCTGTCCCCCCACAATGGTTGGTCAGTCCACCTTAAGCTGGTGGACAAGAAGCGTGCCCACTGGATCCTACAAACCGTGGGATCTGCACTGGCTATCGTAGGCAGTTTCCTTAAAATCGTTGACAAGAACGTCCATTGGAATACAAATCACGGAATTTTTGGTAAGTTATGTTAAATTTAATACACTTAATAACGATCAAAATTTGTCGTTTAGTATCTATACCTCATATAAATATTATTATGATATTCATGTCTCATGATGATGAGATATAAATATATGAAAAGAGATGTCTTTTTCTTATATTTTGAGGCTTTGAAAAGTTCAACTAATATAAATGTTGGTGTAAATAATTTAATAGAGGTATATGTAGGCTACTGTTTTCTATACGTTTAAATAAATAATATTATAGTGTTGTTAAAAATAACATTCGTAACTAAGGACGTTGAAAAAAGGTGGACACAATGTCACTTAAAAATGATTGAAGTACCAAAATGTCAATTTTTTTTTATGTGTGCATGTGTTATGGGTTTCCAGACTTAAAAAAACGATAGATGTTCTTCGTGTGTATGTGTATAATATGTTCTGCATGTGACGCTATATTAGCCGGGTGCCACCGTCGTTGTTTCTTAAGACTATCTGGCTGTTTTTTTCAGCATCCTTTTTCGCAACACTGGTGTTACCGTTAAAAAAAATATTATTAACACTCATTCAGTTTTAATAAAAACGAGTAAATACACTCGTTGTTGAAAAGTCGTCAGAAGTTGTTGTTAAAAAAACATACATTACTACATAAATAATATATATCTAACATTTTTAAATTAAGTATTTATAGAGGTAGTTTTTTTATAAAATATATATCTTTTTAAATATAAACTGACCTCCCAATAAATATCATGATAAAATTAATGATTTCAATGAAATAAAGAAACAAGTTGGTACACCTTACTCTCATTGATACCAGTGTACGTTATCAATTTAGGAGTGAATTTTTTCCACTCGACAACTTTATCTTATTACAACTGTAAGAAAGACATAAGTATATATGTCATTGACCTTGGAAACATCTATACGAAACCATACTCGATAAAAAACAACAATAAACTACATTATGTTGACAAGATTAAGCCAAAAAATAAAAGTTATACTATAATTATAACAAGTTTAATAACTTTATAATCTCCTAGTATACAAGTTGATAATAATTGATTGTACACAATCCTACAGGTAATGCTTGCAAATATTAATTTAATATAACAATTTCCCCATAAAACATTCTCTCAATAAGATTGAATTTTCGAGTTTTCAAATGTGGAAGTTAATTTCTAGTATAAGAAGCTATGTATACTTAAACAAAATATGAATACCTAGTTAGTATTTCTCTCATAAATATAATCAATTTAGTGAACTGTTCTAAATTCAATCTTATTGTTATCTACCCATGGCACTTTTGCTTTTGTTGGTCCCGTTATTGTATACTACTACTAGGCCTGAGGCCATATATAATCTTGAAAACTGTTACTGTGGCATGGTATGATATACTTAAGACCGATTTTTCAAGCATCAGTTAATTATTAACTGTGAAACAAAATTGACATTTGACAGTTTTTAGAAGGAATTTCTTATGAAGGAAGGAATTATGGAAGTATTATCAAATATTCTAAGTTATTCCTAAGTTAAAATTTATCTAGCGTTGGAAAAATCGGCCCTTAGACCATTAATCCAAAATTAATATGTAACCAAAATAATACCAACATTTTTATCTTTTTTGCAGCATTGATAGCCCTGGTCTTCACAGTGATAAGTCTCGTCAACGGACTGACGTCGCTCTATGCTTACGAATTCCGACGATTCCTGCCATCAACCCTTTCGAAGCTGACTCATATTTGTGCCGGCACAATAGCCTTTGTGGCTTCATGCATCAGCCTCTGTTACGGCATTGACAAGGGTATGTTCACAAACTGGGTCGGCAGTACCATAGCCAACATCCTCATCGGATTCAGCTCTTTCTTCACCTTCCTCATCATTACCACTCCTTTGATTACCTTCTTTAACAAACTAAAGAATACATAATTTTTAAGTAAGGTGTTATCTGTAAATATATTTGAGATCTTTTAAAGTGAGTCGACTGTGACTGCATTTATACTTTCAAAATAATACAGTTCCTCTTTCGCTAGATTAACACTGATAAAATCGAATTATAATTACCTAAATGATGATAAGATCGAAAATAATTGTTATTGTAATACAATCAAATGAAAAGTGATAAAGTTTTTAATGTATACTCAGGAGATTCATTTATTTTTTGTACAATAATAAGATTCTCTTAGTTTTAAGACATTGTTTTATAATTATGTTAAATACAAGAAATAATACAAGTTTTTTATTTTATCAACATCTTCGAAAGCTACCATGAAACAAGGGATATACTTGTTAATGTACGAGAGTACCTATAAGTAAGTATGGGGACACGCCATAAAAACTAAAAGCAATATCGTTAAAATTGAAAGTAGGTAGGTAAGCGATCAGGATAGATAAGCAGTCGGTGCGCTGCCACCTATCTTTATGGCATCTAAACATATAAAGGAAACTCGGGGAAGAGTAATGGCTCTCGATACGCACATTCTGGAATAGAGTATTGTTGCCATTGCTAATGTTTGAGATGTACGACCATATCTTTTGATAAATGCGACACTATAGTCAGAATTTTAATTAGATTCCAGATTTGACAATAGCTACTGTCATTTTGTGAAATAATGATACCACATATAATAGTGTAGTGATGAACACAAAAATCGATAAACAATCAGTGTGTGTGTTTTATAATAAATGTTACAGAAAGTGACAGGATAGCGATAGCGATGACAGCGACAATTTATAAAATAACTTATTACCATAATACATCTATCTGTTTTATTTGTAATGTTCCTTCATGATTACATTTTTTTATTTATTTCACACACAATTATAAAAGAAAAGTCTCAGATCGTTAATTAAACTGTCAAACACCAAGCGGTCACCGGTGACCGCAACCTATTGTTCTATAATTGTGTCTATAATGACGGTACTCCACGAGTTAATCGTCAAAACTAAATTATCGGTTCAGAAATATTTAATTTCCTGATATACTTAGTTTACGGCAGTAAAATTATAAACGAGAAGAATCGATCCAGAAATATTGCATTTCCATATCGAATAATTTCGCAACGTCACTATTTAGTACTTGTCATAAAGTTGCAATACTGAAATTGTCAAATCTGGAATCGAATTAAAATTCCGAGTATAGTACCAGTAGTGTGCGGACCTTTGACCGGGGAGCCCACTGCGACATTATTCGTATTCTATCGGTGGACTCTAGATCCACAAACGGTAGGACATGACTTATGTAGATATATTATCAAACGACTTAGATGACTACAACTAGATAAACGACTAGAACACTATAAAGTTATTTATTGGTTGCGTCAGACAGATGTTCTTACCAAAAATGTAAGTCACTTAAATAGAATGAGATTACAGGTACCTAAGTCATATTTCATAAGTCATATAAAGGTTGTCTGGAAGAAATCACCATTGTGTGATAAGACCGCCCATTGTACGCATATTTACTTGAATTGTTTGTTTTAAACTACATAAATGTGTACAATGAAGCATATATAAATAAATAAATAAATAAATAAATATTTCGAGTTATAGCTAACAAGAAGTCTGCATTTTTTTAATGAAAGCAAATGTAAGAGTAGGTATGGAGTAAGCAAAAGTGGAGATACCAAATTAATAGTAGATAATATAAAAAATTAAAATAGAGTACCGCAAATAAAAACGACATCATTCCCTACACGTTTAATTTAATTTTAGTAAGTCATATCCAATTTATTAACAGTTCCTTAAATCTGGCTTTATTTAAAGAGAATAATGAAACTATATTGCAAACCAGAAACGAGTTTTCTATTGTATGTGAGTATTCGCTCTTAGCCGATACTAAAGCGATTATAAATTATTATTCGTAAAAGCATTAACTGTCGAATATTCTCTGGACATAATACTCAGGCATTGCAAATAAAAAATGCCTATTGATAACTTGTCAATACGATAACATACACATAAGATTGATTTATAAGGCCAAATATCGCCAAGCCTATCATATTATCATGTCACAAATATTTTATTTTCATATCAATTATATTATATCAAATCAGCTTATACCCGATACTGCTCACAAAAACTGCATAGCAATGATATTTCAGAAACGAGTTTACAAATCTTTTTTTGGTGTTCATCCACTATCTTTCTCTCTTAAAGGGTTATGCTTGTGTACCTAGGTGTGTATAAAGCAGATTTGACCCTTAGTCAATCAATCAGTTAAAAATGCGATTTGGTATCATTTTATTTGATCATCATAATGTTTGTACAATTGTATAGAGGATATCATGCCTATAAGCAAGTTAGTTCCGCAACCATATAGTCCCTAAACAGTAGAATCCTATAGAAGCTCATACGAAAAGTTACGTGTCAGAATTCTATGCACCAGTGACGTCACACCGCACCTATATTGTTTCTTATACTACGATAACCGATAAACAGTAATCGTGTTGAGATATCACAGCCTTAACTCTATCAAGAAACAATTAATCATAACATTTGACAACACTAATGACCAATTTCAAAGATAAAATCATGTTATCTGCTACCTAATAATATCTTTATTTATATTATTAAAACTATGTATTATAATAATGTATGTATGAACAAGCATAATACATTATTGAATTTATAGTCTAAGCCCTGTTCGTTAATTTTATTATAGAAAGGCAATTGAGTGAAATGAAAATAAAAAAGTGTGTTCGAATCGGATGGCGGTGCTCTCCGTAAATTCCATAAAGGGAAGATTTTAAGCATTTCTTGGTGTGAAAATCTAGCCAGAGACTACTACTAAACTAACAGATAGCTACATTTATTTGGGTATACTCTTAGATTAGGAAGCTTTTTCGTATTATAAATTCATAGGTAATAAAACTAAAAATACGTTTTTGATCATTACGATTTAATCTATTACCCATGTTACCGGGAAATAGGTATCAAATGAACCCAAACTCGATATGTTTATTAATAGGCAACCCAACACCAGCTACCTTCCAACACGAGATCCAGCTCCATGGTACCGTAATATTTTAGGCATGGTCATCTAATCCATAATTTGATATCTAGCAGTTTCATCATGTACATATAGTTCAGATTCTTAGATTTTATTACATAGTTCATTATGAGTCGACGCAATAAAAGTGTGTTGAAAGTAAGGCCTATCGTGAGAGATTTTTTTGTTTTTATTAATACCCCACACTAGGATTTCCTCCTGTGTCATGGGTGTGTTTATAAGCATATTAATTCAAATACACATGACACTCGGATCCGGACCAAAAATCTGTGAATTACACAAAGAGTTGTTCCGTGCGAAAATCGAACCCGCGACACGTTGTGCGGCAGCCAGTTGCTCTGCCACCGCGCCAACCACCAATTCTAAAACATAAAACTAGATGACGCAGAAATCTTCATCAAAACTTAAAGAACATTAGGAATAAATAGCATTTATTATAAAAGCAATAATATACATTACGAAAATAAACGTTACAAAAATTTAAGCTTAGCCTTTGTTTACAACTTTTATTATTGTAGTTATTACTATAAGTGACGAATAAAATATGATAAAAAGGTTCAACATGTAGACTACATTTTGCCCTGTCCATCGTTTCAAGTCTTGTTTCACTAGTCCCGTGCATAGGCAGATCATAGAACTGCAGAAGCAAAGAATTCCACACGACATGTGCACAAAATGGCCTTTTCTGACGACCAGCTTTAGAGCGAATGGTCCAGTTAACGAACTCAACAAAGTCAACAGCAATGTTAGCATCCCTAAAAATTAATAAATTTTAAACAAAACATGATACGCTGAATAAAGTTAAGTCCATACGGTACACAATAACACACCACGTCTTTTATTCTTCAAGAGTGATAACCCCAGAATATGCACATAATAAAAATCAGATCAATGAGATCCTAGGAGACCTTACTTATTATCACAAATTAATATTATAAATGTAAAAGTTAAAATAGTGAAAAGTGGGTGTTACATTGTACAGTGGCATAATGTACACTTCTGCCTAACCCTTCGGGGATAAAAGACGTGATGTTATGTTATGGTATGAAAGTTTCTTAGTTTGGATGTTTGTCCGTCAATCACGCTGAAACTACTGAATGGATTTTAATGAAATGTGGTATACGGCAACCACCTATGGGCTGATTTATGTGATAGGATTTTTATCTCTTTTATATGCTCCCATGGGATAAAACAGGTACGCCAGCAAAGCCGCGAGTAAAAGCTAATGAAACATATTATATATTAGATTAGTATGAGTGTGTATAAGCATAGTTGTTTATTAATTAATCCCTGAAGCATACAGCTGGTAGCAAAGATTTCGCCGTCGGTCTATGCCAGCAGGTATGTAAATGCTCACTATACACGCTAATACTAATCAATATGTATGTTTTGTCCATAAGAAAACAAGTCTAACCCTAACATTATTGATCACAATCATGTTCGTGGATTGGTTACCTAATACTGAATGTGCTGTGCGCTGAAATTGCAATTTCCTTGCCACTATGATCATTCCACTTACTGCTGTAATAATTGTACATAATTGAAGAAATATATGTACATATTTTCGATGCATAGACCTAATAGGTGTGGCCCATCCATTTACAAAACTCAAGCTTAATATAGCTTCTGCCGCAAAGAAGTTATACTGGAAAATAATTATTAGATAAAAATTGATATTTATATTTGTATTTACTATCTCTAATGCAAATATAGATGTCAATAATACATGATCACAATTATAAGACTAGTGTTAACAGAAATGAAATTAATGAATAAACAAGTTTCAGTTAGTACTCATGGCTCCAAAGCTAATAGTTTAGATTACTTAAACTTACTGCCATACTAAATGTAACTGCGTGCAAGTCTCCTGTCTGAATAGAATACAGGTATGTAACCATAAGAACAGAACCTATCAGTACATGAGAGAAACCAATTCCAATTGCCCACAAAACGGCGTTACTATATTTCTCATCTAAATTGTCAATCACAGCAGTTTGGAACGGGCCAGCAAACCTTGCTCTAGTGCCTTGTATTGTATTTCTACGACTATCATCGGGTCTTCGCATTACAACATGCGATCATATGTAATTTTTACGAATATCGGTATTGTTTTATAACTTATTCTTGTTATATTAATACTACTGGCATTTTTGCTATCACAGAATGACAATGACTTTAAGCGTCAAGACGTAAAATTGCTTCCGTGTGCTATCCATAGATATATTATTTATTAATGCAATGATGCTATTAAAATAATAGTTCTGTAAAAAAGGTTGATAGCCTTTTTACGTTTTCTGCAACATAAAAGCAGCATAATATAATTTCTATCCATTGCTGCTGAGACATGCTGCCTTACATCTGAAAGAAGCTGCTTACGTTCAGCGCTAGATTTCCGAGCATGGACCTGCCATGTTCTTCAGCTTGGTTAGCAAGCCTCTGTGAAAACTCGGTGCTAGATTACCCAGCTCGTGCTTGCGAAATATTTTGTCTATTCCCCGAATGGCGCTGAATATCTTTAAGAACAGACTCTTCCGTGCAGCGTCCTCGAGCTGCTCTTCTCTGACGGGAAATTCGTGATTCCCTTTTAGTTATAATAAACATAAATATTTTGCATGTGGTGTGTTAACCTACAATTATTTTTTGCACTTTTAAATGTTTCTCTAGCTATTTAATCAATAATGTATCTGGAGGCACGGCAGTGCCCCCACCAAGTCGAGCAAAAAAGCGTCACGGCCGCACCATCCTTTTCTCGAAGCAATTTAGGCCATTATCGACCGTCTGTAACTTCGTTGTGGATAAAACTAGAAGACTAAAATTTCAGTAACTATGCAGGCATTGTAGAGACGTGGTATATTTCAAATTTCATTCAATTTGAACCAGTATTTTAATAATTAATACGGATCAAATTTCTTAATTTATACACTCACTGACTGACTCACCGATCATCAAAATTCTAAGGCACTTCTAGCAGACCAAGAAGCTTCAAATTTGGAATACAAGTAGTGTTTGGTGTATGAATTAAGGAAAAACTAAAGAAAATTAGAAAATATCAGTATAGAGGGCGCTGTCGCAACGCCACGTATATACGAAAAATATATACTAAAGACTTGGCCATCGTACTAAATAATTGAATTTACACGTGTTTTCAGGCGATGGCCAAGTCTCAATATATTTATATAAAACATTACAGAATTTAAATATTGATATGCGTCACTATAAGATGCTGTTAATTATTACGTAACAACTTAATGCTTCGAGTACGGAGATTCCAGACACTATTGATTTTCCATTGTTATGGACCACGATCGTGATCTTAGAGACTGGACGTATTAAGACAGAAAGTCGCGAGACTAAATAAATTAATAACAGACTTGATATTACATAGATCTCACAACTTTTTTCCGCAGAATAACTGAGTTGCGAGACTTGGTTTTTTTGACAAGTATTATTTTTGATGGGATATATTAGTATATAGTTAATTGGTGGTTAACCAAAATAAATAAATAAATAAACAATCGCTGAAACTGTTCGATATCTCAAAAACAGAAATACCACAGCACCGAATTTAAAGAATAAGAAAGAACTAGTATTTAAGATACTCATCAAAAAAAAAAATAAAGACCAACAATATCACGTTTACGGAAAGGGGACATATACTGCGGAAAATTGTTAACACCGCGATTCAACAAATGGCATAATTGCAATGCCATCTGCATTGATCTGATCTCACTGTACATAAAAAAATGTGAATTGTAAAAATATCTTTCTATGCTTAGAAAGATTACTACTATTTTGTTTTGTTTAAAATTATCTAAAGAATTGTTGTAACAAACTTTGACGCAGTGCATAAGTACTTAATGTCTAATTATTTTTAGCGACTTTTACATGATCTAACTCCTGACTGCAACGGGCGTGTCGCGACTGACCGTCAGACTTTTTTATTTAATTGCAAATATTATCCATAAATGGCAAATGTCTTAAAATAATCACGGTACTTCCTCTTCTATTCGCCTGCTGTACTATAACCGTATACAGTTGGTCTAGAATATATGATTCCATAATACTGAAGCATAAGAAGCATATTCGGGATAACGTAACGTAAAATACAGACGAAAAATAAAGAATTGTAGCAGCAAGAGTCAAAAGATTGGCATAGGTTTTCGTAGATTTTCGTGGATAACACATAAGTAATTATAATTTAAAACCAGGCCCACCGCTAGATAGTCGAGCGCCCGCGTGCAAATACCGATTATGCCGCCCCACTTTTTGTTGGGTGGGTAAAAAGTCATCAAATGAGTCTATAGGAAGTGACTCTTACAACTCTTACTAAGTAAAATCCACCCCATTCCTTCCAACACTTGCTTAAAACCAGGGCCTCAGTACCCATATGACAACTTACCCTCCAGCAAGACAACAATCCTGGTGGGCCCCGTCTATGGTGGTCTGGTGGCACTTTGACGCTCGCATTTTACGTGACGCGTCGTACACTCGGATCTGGTACTTGTCAGGTGGTGAGGTATCCTTGCTTACTTGCGCTTACGGTGGCCGGTAATCCCGACAAAGCGACGCGATACTACCTCTACACCCAAAACGTCTCCTACTTCCTCCCGAAAATGATAGACGATACTCGATAGATTTCGAGTAACTCTAGAAAGTGATCGAGGGTGCTCGATGGTTTTCGAGGTCACTCGATGGTTTTCAAATAACTCTCGAAAATGATAGAGGATACTCGATAGTTTTGGAGTCTTTCTCGACAGTGTTCGAGGACGCTTCATCGTCTTAGAGAACGCTCGATAGTTTTCGAGTTCCTCTGGAAAATAATAGAGGAAAATCGATAGTTTTCTTAAGTTTAGAATATTATTATAATACTTGTATAGAATTTGGGGCGCCACTGAATAGGAGAAGGTGGTGAATAATTTTTGGGTGATTCCAAGTATGGTATTGCATCTTCTCCTTCAAACCTTCAAGAAAAGAGCGTATTCCTTTTTAAAAGGCCGGCAACGCACCTGTGACTCCTCTGGTGTTGCGGGTGTCCATGGGCGGCGCTGATCGCTTACCATCAGATGATCCGTCCGCTCGTTTGCATCCTATTCCATAAAAAAAAAGTCTTAGTCTTATTTTTATCTATCGATATCTATCGATAGGCATAACGTCTAATATTGCTAGCGTCCAATGGGATTTTTTCCCGGCGATGATATTTCCCATGATCGTACGCCCGTGTACTGTGCACGCTTTGAACGCCTGGTTACGGCGGGCCTGTTTTAAACACATGGTTTTAAATTACAATGACTTAGGTGTTCGATTTTTATATATACTTCTAATAAATATTGGAACCTTCCCGATCACCTGAAGTCGAAGATCAAATGGGGCCTCACTTCAGGGACACCCTCTATGTAAGTATTGTATAAATTAGAAAATACACTCACTGCGATTGTAAAATACGCTGAATGGCTTTCTGTTCTTCGATACGAGTACATAATAAGAGTAATGTTCACAGCACCAATTAATATATGGCTCAATCCCACTGCCGCTGCCATCCATACTGCCAGACAGTAAGAATCCCGATGCTCACTAGCGATCATTACATTAAATAAATTTAATGTAGCAAGACGGTTCTTTGGAATCTCAACTATATCACTCTTCGTGTCGTCACCCATTGCTTCAACAAATTTAGCAAATAACTACTACAAATAACTATTCAAAATATAAGACAAATTGTACATACTCCGAAGGTGTACAATATACTTACTTAATGGATTTCTGTATTTCTGTACAATTATTTTAAAAATGATAACCATAAATAGTGACAAATATGTATGTGTCAATCTGTGTATAGATTATATTCTTGTCAGAATCAGAAATTATTTTAATAGACGACCTAAGCTCGTGAGTTAAGATAACTATTATTAAGTATTATCATTCATTGGTCAGATAAATTTTAATGACCCAACAACCCCTAAACACAAAATTTATCAGCCGGGAATATTAGCGCGAGAGCATGAATCCGTTTTAGAGCGAGTGAGACGTCTATTCATAAATTGGGAAATCCAGAGTTGTTCACAGATGAGGATATAAAAAAGGTATTGTCAGTAAAATACAAATTTTTGTGTTTCAAGAACCTAAGGTTATAGCTATTTGAAAATAAGTTATGTCTGATCGCTTTTTGATCCAATTTTGGAGTACCAAAATATTTTTGAAGTTCTATTGTTTATAGGTATTTATGCAGGTTTAATTGAACTTGTTCAACCGTGGCACTAAATTCAAACATAAAGAAAGTAGTTTTGCATTATTATATAATTTGTGCATTAACTGTGTAAGTACAGTTATGCATTAAACGAAGTACCAGGTGGGGGTAATATCATCGATCGCAGCGCTCATGTGGTCAAAAGTAACAATATTGTTGAAACTTTTTATGTGCCATATATCAAATAATTTTAATAAATACGTTATTTCCCCGACCCCGACAAAGATGGGTCACAGCAGTTGTTGTGTTGTAAATTGTAAGAATTTTGGTCCAAACACTAATGTACGTTTTAGCGATTACCAACAGCTTCTTGCAAAATTGAACAATACAAGAAATGCATAGCTGCCGTCAAGAGAAAAAAAGTAGCATAACTTTATTTAAATCTTGTATTTGATATAATGCTTACTTACAAAAAAATGATGGATCAGCACGGTACGCAAAACCAAGTGATTTATATGAATATGCAGTGATCATTTCATTGGTGGCAAGAAATCAGACGAGACAAGCAGTTCATCTACCGTTCAAAAACAGTGAATGAATTTGAAGCTGGTACAGACGTTTTATGGAATGGAAAAAGGAGACTGAAGTACTCACCACCATACTGACCAACCAACGAGGGTTGGTTGGTCAGTCATTAAAATTTATCTGACCAATGAATGATAATACTTAATAATAGTTATCTTAATAACATATTCAAAAGTCAAGCACTTATGAGTTTATTTTTATTTATTTAAACTTTAATGTACACAGAAACAAGTAGATAAGGCTGACATTAATGCCATATGGCATTCTCTCCCAGTCAACCTTAGATCCCTATTTTTTCACCGATTTCTTTTAATTGGTGAAAAAATAGGGATGTGTAACTATAAGAAACAAATAACATAAATAGAGTTTAGAAGATCTCAAAACCACTATCAAGGAAGAATGTGCACGAATTCCACAAGAGAGAATTAAAATCATCAAGATAAGATATCTAAAACGTCGAATGCAGACCATTGTCTAAGCAAGGGAAGAATATATGGAATACTGAATTGAAGGACATATTATGTAATTTCTCTAATCTGTACGTGTGTATGTCACTGAACTCCTCCTAAACGGCTTGACCGATTTAAATGAATTTTCCTGTACGCGTTTAAGTAGCGCCCTGGATGGTTTAGATTCACAAATCAGCCCGGCAGATGGCGCTGCAGTCAGGGTCTAGGTTAGTTATTCTAAACGGCTGAACTACTTTGAATGACTTTTTGTTTATACATTCAAGTGGATATGCAGGACAACGTCTGTTGGGTCCGCTATATAGTAAGTTATATAGTAGTGGAAAAAGAATGTAAGTTACAGTTTTATACTAACTAGATACTTTTTTTGCAAATCCGTTACATATTATCTATAAATGATAATTTAAGGCCCGTGCCTTACTTCCGTAAGTACACACATGAAGATAAAGAACTATAACCACACAATAAAACAAACATCATTAAGAATCACTCTTTACTTTAATAAAAATGGCCACTAATACAGTCAAAAAAATGTACGTGTTGATTGCTGTTAATATCAGAACGTAACTTTTGGTACCAAGCCAATCAACAAATTTAGGTTCACTATAAATTGTTGCAAAGCACAGTGAACTGCATATGTAGCTAGGCACGCTGAAAATCATGTGTACTTTCCTAGACACCCGGCCAAAGAATCTAGTTGGAGCAGTAAAGTATGCTCCAGGCCCAAGAACACTGGCAAAGACGGAAAATAATACGCCAAAAAAGCCTGAAAAAAGAAATGCTTCTGAAGGTATTAATTCATTATCAAAAGTAGCTAACATTTACTCATTACAAATGAGTTATGGAAACATGGAATCTCATCTCACCAAAATAGTTATGCTCTAAATAAATTACACAATTCATATTTCATATTTTTATTGCAGTTAAAACTACTTTTGATGGAAAGCGTCAGTCAAATATACTTTAAATCGCAGCAGTCAAAAATAATAATAATAATTTTCAGTCAAAACCACTTTTAACCAACCTATTTTGTAGGTCGTCTATAGGTCTCAAAAGTAGTTTGATAAGTTTAAAGTTTCATCATCAATCATCAATAGCCTATAAATGCCCACTGCTGAGCAAAGCCTCTTCTCACATGGAGAAGCTTAGAGCATTAATCACCAACGCTTGCTCAATGCGGGTTGGCGATTTCAAACTTATAATTAGAAATTATAAGCCCAGGTTCGTCGCGATGTTTTTCTTCACTGTTGGTCAATGGTGTCTAAATAATCTTAGAAAGTACATATAACTCGGAAAAAGTCACATTGGTACTTGCCGTTGGTAGGTTTCGAACCCACACCCTCGTGCATGAAAAGCAGGCGTCTTCAACCTCCGGGCCACCACGACGTTTAAGTTAAGTTTAATTGACTGCAATATTTACATCTACAATACGTACATACATAGCTTCACGCCTGTCTCCCATGAGGGTAGCAGAGACTATGGAACGCCAATTACTACGATTTCTACATACCTCTTTTGCTTCATCTACAGTCATCAATCTTTTCATGCATAGTCATCGGTTAAGGGTACTTTTAATTTGGCCCTTATTTAATATATCGCCAATCTGGTCAGTATATGTCTATCTAGGGCGACCTCTACCGACGGCCCTATTCATATCCGCTCTGTATACTTCTTTCGTTACTCTACTTTCATCCATCCTTTCTACACGTCCAAACCAGCGTAACATTGCATTTTCAATCCTTGTTACTACACCATCTTTCAATCCACACCTTTCTCTAATAACACTATTTTTCACTCCATCACTCAATTTTAGTCCACCCATACTTCTCAGAGCTCTCATTTCCACCGCATTAACTCTGCTTTCATGCTTCTTCTGCCATACCCATGATTCACTACCATACATAAGCGTTGGTGTCAATACACACTGCATTACAGCAAGTCGAGCTTTCCTGGATATTATTTTATTCGACATTACAGAGTGTAAGGCACCATTAATACTATTTCCCGCTTTCACTCTCCTTTTAATATTCCCGTCACACTTTCCATCTCTCGTAAATAGTGATCCCAGATAAACAAACTCATTCACTTGTTCCAATTTTCATCACCTATTTACCTGACATTCTGTTATTTCTATCAACGACACTTTTGTCTTGTTAACATTTACTTACATACCTTTCCTTTCAAATGCATCATTCATAACAGTGATCATTCGTTGTAATTCTTCAGCCGACGAAGCAACATCTATAATCTACAATAATAACTGTTTAAAGATTTTTGTTTATTTGTTTGAATTGAATAAGCTCCGAAACTACTGGCCCCGCTTGAAAAGTTCTTTTACCGTATCCTACACTATCTCTAATGAACATAGGCATAGGCAAATATATGAATAAAAAAGGGCCCCGTATGATAATGTAACCCGATGTGTGGAAAAAGTATCAAAAATATTACTTAAGATAATAATATATAGTAATATTAGGCCTTGAAAACCCAAAACGTTTAAAGTTTTGCCTTTAAAGTTTTCTATTGGCAGTGAATAGCTTAAACAATATTTTACGCAGGTTTTTTCAAAAAATTAGTAGGAGCACGGAGTTTGGAATTGAGCCCGGTAAACGGCAATAGGCTCACCCCCTATTACATGGGACTCATAACATAAATAGTGAAAAGTGGGTGTTACATTGTTACAATGTACACCTCTGCCTAGCTCTTCGGGGATAAAATGTGTGATGTTATGTTACGTTATGTATCAGGGATATTGTAGGATAGCAACGGTATTTTTTTTTTAATTGGTCCTGTAGTTTGGGAGCCTATTCAATTCAAACAAAAAAATGTTGTTTTCCTATTTATCATATTAGTGTACATAAATACTAATGTAGTGTGGTGGCAAAATAACAAAACAGTATCATCATACTCGTAATTTCATAACTAATTACATTATCTAGCAGTCAAATGGCCACTAAATACTACCAACAGTAAAGTGCCACAACTGAAAACCTACTACACTATCTAAAGCTTTTATAATAGTAAACTTTACATAGGGATACTTTCAACATTTTTTATACCTAATACATCATGTCCTGAGCAATGCAAATAGGGTAACATCAACAATGCACCAACAACGCCACATCCGACTGCAAATGATTGTAGTAGTAAATGCTGGAACCTTCTACCATATAGACTTAGGTACATGCCTCCTCCAAAAGATGAACACAACACTAAGATACCAGGTACCATGAACATTTGCACCTGTAACGGATAAAACAAAATTCGTATTAGAATATAAGTAACTATGTAAATAAGAGATCACTTTGTGTGATAAGACCGCCTATTGCAGTTAATTTGTTTTCTTAGTTAGTGATATATGTATGAATTCAATCGAAGGGATGCGCGAAAGTGGCGCTTAAAGTGTCTTTGAAAATGAATATTCATATTACAAATGTTACAACAAATAATTATTGAGCATCATTAACTAACAGTTAACACACTGTATACGTTCCTATAAATTATACCACTGCTACTACAAGGAAATTAACAGGACAGTAACAATATTGCTGCTTTGACATAGAAGTTCAGTAAAAGGGTGGCAAAATTTTTGGCTGTTAAATAAAACACTGAACACTGCAGCACTTTGATGGCACTTCGAGTCTATCACCAGATTACTTGGAGATTAAAAAAAATATAGTTGAAGCTCTTGAGTGTCTTCAACAGCAGATGGAGTCTTATGGAAGAGAGACACGATGCTCAGGAGTTGAGGTGCCGCAGAAAGATACTTTTCGTCCATGGGGTTCCAAAGCCGACAAAGGTCTTCCTTCCCGGTTCCGGTCACGGATGACTGGAGTAAGTATACTGAATTGCTGGCTACTGAGGTCATCCGGGATAGGCTTGATTTGAAGACTTTCACTGCTTCCTCTATAAGTAGTTGTCATCGGGTTGGCAGCCGAACAAGCACTGGTGGTCTCTGACCAATATTCCTGAAGATTAGAGATGTCAATATTAGAGACACAGTTTGGTAAAAATTAATCTTAAGAGATCAGGCGTCACTTTGTCCGAGTTCTACCGAAACCGGATGGGACTTAAGATACTCATTACTTTCAAACACGGGGTCTGAGGGTTCATACGGGCAAGGTGTATAAATCCATGAATGTGGTAGCCTCAGCTTCTTCATCAACCTTGGTCCAGCAACTACAGTTTTGGCAAATTCTATCTAAAAATCCAACTCCAGTTTTAAAGATAGTTCCCCGAGGTGCAAAAGCATCCGTAGCTTCAAGTTTAACAGACTGTATGGCTCTCGTAGTCCGAAAGAACTCTCCAGAGTGCTTGGGAGCAATTATTTACTTTTCCATTTAGGATTCTACAAGTGCAGAAAGATTTGGCTAATAAAAAAACTTTAACTACCCAAATTAATTGCTTTTTCTCAAATTTAAACTTTCAACTCCAAATTACCAGTAATTTTTTCTCATAAAGGTTTTTTGCATCATATACAGTCTAAAACAGCAGATGGTGACATCCGTACATATCAAATCTGGACTCCTGGCCGGCCACGGTGGTCCCCCTCTTCCGATCCACTTAATGGAATATTTAGGTCCAGCCACTCTCTGACACTCCTCCTGTAGTAAGGCCACCATCGTGATGAAACCACATGTCATGAATGAGGTTTCATCGTATAGTATGTCGTCGAGCAAATCAGATAGTCCGTTGTCCGTTTAAGCGTCTTTGTTTCAAGTTTTTTCCGAGAATCCTAGCAATACCCTAACATACCATGTTATACTTAAGGGTGCGTCCACATTTGGCAAATGTTTCACAAATGCGGCGCTCGCGAATCGCCCGCGAGCTGCGCGTGTGTTCAAATTATTATTTATTCGAACCTTATATGATTGAGCACCAAACCATTGCCGTGATTGCACGCGCGCAGCTTGCGGGCATCCCGCAAACGGCTCGCGAGCGGCTCATTTGCGGCGCATTTGCCAGATGTGGACGCACCCTTATAAGAAAGCTGAGAAATCCATCTTAGACTAGACTACCTAACGGTCGCGGAAACCTAACGGGTTACCGGGGCTCCGTCTCCGGCTCGCTAGAGAAGGAACGGGGTGGTTTTTAGTCAGTAAGAGTCTGATACTCCCTCCTGCCTCACCCAGGCGGGAGCAGTCATTCGATGATTATACCCCTTGTAAAAAAAGACCAGAATTTTATTTAAATATCCACTGTAAGGAAAAAAACTAATCACAGATTTATTTTAGTTGCAATAATCCTTCCTCTACTACGCCTCTGTTGGTATAGTTACTTGCAGTCTGATACTTTAAAATGATAAAGTAACTATCTAATCTTCTACACAAAAATAAAATAAAATTGATACACAAAACACAAACAAAAATTAGAAAAGAAATTCAAAGGCCGGGATCTTGAGAACGGTTAAGTTTGGGATATGGAGTTCCTTAATCAAATCGGTCTGGAATGATACATACATAATTATCGGTCATCATTACCGGTGGTATCCATACCACAACCTCAAGAATTTAGGTCGACTTAACCTATAACCCTGTATAATATATACAAGAAACACAAGAATTGCTCGTTTATGCAAACTCGAGTCCAACAACAACCTGAGCTGCACCGTGAAGAAGCAAAACGTATGTCGAGTGTGTTTTTTCCGTATCGTGTGCGTGTTTTGTGTCGGATCTCTGCTGCATGAGCTTTTATTTACGGCCGGAGGAAGGTGCTGCATATCACATGCTGCAAATTCATGCCTACAGCGGAATAAAAACTAAATATTTTACCCAATTGTTAGTATAGGTTGACAGCAGTCTAGAAAGAGAAATCCATGAATAAAATATTTTCAGTAAACTTGAATTCGTATTTTTTTCTTTAAAATCTCTGATCCCTGATGCAGCTAAGAAAAATAAATTAAATATTCTGTAAATTTCACTTCATTTTAAAATCATATTATAGTCATGGAATTCTTGGCCAGAGTCTGTATTTCCTAAAGGGTATATATAACCTGGGTGGGTGTCTTCAAGGCCCGAGTGAATACGCTGCTAATGGGACGACGTGCTCCATCATAGACCGCATCATCGCTTACCACCAGGCGAGACAGTGGTCAAACGTCGGCCATTAAAATATATAAAAAACGATAACAAAATACACTTCATCACAATACTTACAGCCATTGTGCATAATACGATATGTAAGTTTACCCAGAGGGGTAACCTGAATTGCATAGTATAAAGATATAGTGTGAATACTGGAACTCCCAAAAGCAGAATTGCCATAGCTATCATTGCAGAAACACATACTTTACGTCGATAGTCCACAGGTGTTGATTCAATTAGTGTTATTTTCACAGGACCCACAAACTCACGCCTGGCAGGAATACCTTGTAAGCCTCTACATTCAAGTTCGCACACTCGTTCGGGTTCATCGCCATTATTTGACATTGCAACACCCCTCAATTTTCAAAAACTATAGTTAAAAATATATTATTAAAATATCCTGTAATTTATAATTATTTTGTAAATATGAATCATTTTTGTTTGAGTAGTGCTAATAAGGTGGTCTATTAAAATTTTATTAAAATATCTGTCAATTAATTAAATGTCAATGTCATACAACTTATTTCATTTAATTTATTGTGAATTCATAGATGTAGAAATAGGTTGAACTTGAAAATTATAGCTTGTTTTGTAGCTAAAAATAAACTTTTTACTTCTTTCTAATGTAATTGTATATTGTATATGTCGCAGGCGATTTGTATAATCCGCCGTATTACAGTACGGCTAATCATTTAGAAAAACAGGGCCGTTTAGGGATATGGCTAATGCCTGTGCAGCTCGCACGCCAAATGTAGAAATCATCTCAAATGAAATTGACTGTCTCGGTCTCTTGCACAAACTTTCTTTCGATGTCCCATGTTGGAATAATAATTCCTTACAACCTCCACTCCTAATTCGAAATTCCTCAACGAGGTACAGGCAGAATTCCTTTATTAAGCGTGCAAGCAGAGACTTAAAGAACTTGTGTAAAGAATTACGAATAGATCCGTTTGTAACGAGGACTTCTGCGGTGCGAAGGATGTTTATGGTACAGTTTTTCAATTCATTAGTAAATTGTGTAACTTAGTTGTTTATTAATTTGTTATTTTTGGTAGTTTGGCTAGTGTGTTCTTTTAATGAGTTGGTATATGCTCTTCTTTATTATTATTGTTGGTTGTATGGTTTGTCTAAAGGATGTATTTGTTTAGATCATGAGTGTTTTTACTAATTGAATAATGTAATATCTATCCGTGTAAACCTGTAATTGGCTTTATGATGTTATTTTACCATTCTTTGTTTGCCATGTATAACTGTTAGTTTTCCAATAAATATATAAATAAATAAACTTTTTCAAAACTGCTAAATACCCAATACATACCTAAAAATGGTAATTCAAGGCACTTCCGTGCCTTGAATTACATGTACTTCCACATGAAGATAAATAACTAAAACCACACAATAAAACAAACATCATTAAGAGTTCTTCTTTATATTAAAATATATGGAGATTAATACACAAATAAAATAGAAAATGACCATTGTGAATAATACCCAGTGGTATTGTTTGTTACCAAGCCAATTTATAAATTTAATTTCAGTAAAAATCGTCAAAAAGCACAGTGTACAGCATATAAAGGCAGGAACGCCGAATAACATGTGCATCTTCCTATTGAACTGGCCGTGAGCTCTAGTTGGAGAAGAATAATATGCTCCAGGCCCAAGAACACTGGCCAACATGGAAAATAATACGCCAAAAAATCCTGAAAAAATAATGTTTCTGTAAGTAATCATTATTTATCGTAAGCAGCTAAAATTCACTCACTACAAATGAGTTATGGAATCACTGAATCTCATCTCACCAAAATAGTGATACCCTAAATGAATAGAATACTGAATTATAATTCGTTTAACCGACTTCAAAGGAGATTTTGACCTGTATGTAGGTATACTGTATGTTTGGCACACGGACCAACACAAGTTTTGCAGGGATCCTAGAGGTCTACTACTAGAGGACTATAGCTTCTACTCATAAAGCCCTGCATCCCAAATGCCACGGTTGGTTCCATAATTGCTTTTTTAATGAAATGAAAAATGTGCTCTTCGGAGTCGCGGAGAACCTAACGGGTAACCGGGGCTCCGGCTCGACGTGCAGGAGATGGAACGGGGTGGTTTTTAGTCAGTAAGAGTCTGACACTTCCTCCCGCCTCACCCAGGCGGGAGAAGCCATTCGATGATTTTCCCCCCTAAAAAAAAATATGTTCTTTAACTCAAAATAACTTTTTTGTTTGCAAGACAGTGATCCAAAATAAATTTTCTTGTCAGTCAGCAGGTCGGTAACCTACCAGTATAATGGCTGATATAGTTAGGTACTTTTTGCTTTTAGTTTTTACCTTTAGTTTGTTTTTAGTTTTTGGTTTTTGAGTAAGCTACCACAGTAGCTTATATTAAAATGTATCGTATTTTTTTTATTTGGGAAAATTAACAATTATACATTATAATAATACATTATAACATGTATCAAAATATAGAACAAATGTACTATTCTGTCAAGAAAGTACTGGGAAAAGATCAATAATACGCAAAATGTCTGTTATTTATCCAAATTTATTTTATCACCTTCAAAGTATGATCCTTTAGAAACGATACACTTGCGCCAACGAATAATCCATTCATCAAAATATTTTTTAAACGCTGCTTCCAGAATTGAGTTCAGTTCTCGCCGCGAACTCTCCTTTATATCTTCTATCGATTGAAAACGGGTGCCACGAAGTGGTAATTTGAGTTTAGGAAAAAGAAAAAAGTCAACAGGAGCTATATCTGATGAATATGGTGGTTGCTGGATGGTATTTGTTGAATGTCTGGTCAAAAATTCGTTCACAATGATAGCCTTGTGCGAAGGCGCATTGTCGTGGTGCAAATTCCAAGACATTTCTTTCCACAAATCTGGCCTTTTTCGTCGAATTTGCTCTCTTAAACGCCGTATAATGCTCAAATAATATTCTTTATTTACCGTTAGACCTTCCGGTAAGAATTCAGAGTGCACACCGCGATAGTCAAAGGAAACAGTGTACATGAGTTTGACTTTTGATCGAGTTTGGCGTGGTTTTTTCGGTTTCAGTTCAGTTGGAAGGCGCCAGTCCGAAGCCTGTTAACTAGTTTGCATGTCAAACTCGTAAACCCACGTCTCGTCACCAGTAACAATGCGTTTTATGAATGTCGGGTCCGAACTAACTCGTTTTAGCATGTCCTCAGCGACTTTCACGCGATTGAGTTTTTGGAGAAAACTCAGATCTTTTGGGACTAGCCAAGCAGCAACATATTTCATACCCAAATGATGAGTTAAAATGGTACGGGTCAACCCGTGAAATACAGAAAGTTCGGCGGCTATCTCTCTCAGAGTTGAATAGGAATTTTCAGTCACTATTTCCTTCACTTTTGCAATGTTTACTGCAGTTGCAGACGTTGACGGCATACCAGAGCGAGGCAAATCTTCCATCACATCTCGACCGCTTTTGAACGGTTTGAACCACTCATAAGCACGAGTTTTTGATAAAGTCAATTCACCGTAAGCCTTTTGTAACATTTTCAGTGACTCCGAACACGAAATTCCATTGGCGATGCAAAATTTAAGACAAACTCTTTGTTCGATATTTTTGTCCATTATGAAATTCGCAATACATATTAGGTATATATGATATTACTAAAACCAGCACTGTATTTAATTTATATAACAGATGCAACTCAAACTCCGCGGCGAAATGGAAAACAGTTGTGCCAATCTAACAACTACAAAAAAAAACAAATATTTGAATTTCGAACCAAAAAAAATCATCTTTGCCCGATACTTTATTGACTGAACTTATAACCATTGACATTCTCCAAAGAATACAAAAATAAAATAGTTAAAAACGTCGTACAATTTAGGTAGGCGTGCTACACATAAATTCACAAATAAAACTGATAATAATACATAGCGTACAAATGTCCAAAACACACTAGAGTAAAGTGACACAACTAGAAACTCTTTTTTTTTTTTAAGGGGGGAAAATCATCGAATGACTGCTCCCGCCTGGGTGAGGCGGGAGGGAGTGTCAGACTCTTACTGACTAAAAACCACCCCGTTCCTTCTCCTGCACGTCGAGCCGGAGCCCCGGTTACCCGTTAGGTTCTCCGCGACTCCGAATCGACATCGGCCCTATTGGGCCCCATCTGTGGTGGTCTGATGGCTCTTTGAGGCGCGCCCGAAACGCGACGCGCCGTACGCTCGGGTCTGTTTCTGGTCGGACGGGGAGCCACCCATGCTCGCCGTCCGCTGGCCCGCGCTTACGGTGGCCGGAGATCGTAACTAGAAACTCTACACATCAATATTTTCTAAATTTTATACCTGTAACGGCATGCACTGAGCATGTCATGTAGGTTACCATCACCACTGCACCAATAACGCCGCATATCGTTGCAAAAAATTGTAACGCTAAATGCTGAATCCTTCTACTATGTGGATTTAGGTACATGGCTCCTCCAAAAACTGCACTATACATTAAGATACCAGGCACCATGAACAGTTGCAACTGTAAAAGATAATAAAAGTCGTATTAGAATATACTAAGTAACGATGTAGGTAAGACATCACTTTGGGTGGTAAAACCGCCCATTGTATCATATATTTTTTCTTAGTTTGTTCTTTATAATTATGCATGTGGTGTTTAATATACAGGGTAACTTGTTAACACAGCATAATTTCGATTACGAGAACAGATCATTCCCAACATGTTTGAAAAAAAATCATTAACGAAAATGAACATTAATAAAAAAAATGCTTTGTGGTAACTTGTTATTTCAAAATGACCTACCCGGTAACTCAAATATGAAAAATCAAACGAAAATATGTGCTATATGTTAATTTTATTTCTTCATTGTCTCAAGTTATTTGATTATTTAAGTACTTGTCCAAATTATCGCAATACATGTCCATTATTTTTAAACCAAAAGTATGCACTTTTTACCTCTACAAAAAAAATATCTACATTTTTCAAGGTTTTACATGAGGTACAAAAATTTAGGGAACATAGCTTAAGACCAGCTGGTCTTACGCCAAGGATCTTTGGTCTTAAGTAAAACAGTGGAGCAAGATAGTAAAATAGTTCACTTTAACTAGAAAACTAACATTTAATGAAATGCCGCCTACCCCAGAAGATATTATTCACTTACAATGTTTTTGAATTACTTACTTGAATTTAAAGTTTGTTATTTATGTATGAATCTTAACATCATCCCTATCACTGAACTTCAGTCGAAGTACTAGATGAGAGAAATCCAGTGAGAACAAGACACACAAGTGTTCTTACTAAATTTCTGTCACATATAAAACCTTTACAACAAAAACGTTGTGTTCACTAGTACTAAACAATCAAATAAAGTTTTGATTCAATTGCTATATCTATAATACGCAATTCCAAATGAAAAAAAAAATTAGGAGTTTTGTCTGCCAAAGACAATTCCCAAAAATGTATGGAGCAAAG